AGGACGGTTATCGGGTAATTGGAGCCCTGGAGTTCGGCCCTCCACCCTTCAAAGCATCTAACAATTGCTAGAAGCTCCTTATCATAGATCTCGTAATTGCATTCTACGGTCTCAAGTTTCTTTGACATGAAGGCGACTGGATGTAGGTCACCGGTATTATCCTTTTGAGACAAAATTCCTGCAGAGACGAAATCAGATGAGTCTGCTTCCACAAATATTTCCTTTGAGGGGTCAAAGTGGCGCAGGACTGGGGCGGAAATAAAAGATCTCTGGAGAGACTCAAATGCTTTCTGGCATGTATCAGACCAGAAGAATCTAATATCTTTCCGCGTGAGTGATACGAGGGGTCTGACAATCTTTGAAAAATTTCTGATAAATCGCCTGTAGAAGTTGGCAAATCCTAAAAAGCCTTGAACATCTTTAAGGCACGAGGGGGGTCTCCAATCAACGATACATTGCACTTTTTGTGGATCCATCTTTACACCTGTGGTGGAGATTATCATACCCAGGTATGTTACTTCTTGAACTTCGAATTCGCATTTCTTAATGTCGCAGTGTAGTCCGGCTTTACCTAGAGCATCAAGCACCATATTGACATGCGATCGATGCGAGAGTTGGTCCTCAGAATAGATTAGGATATCATCAATGTAAGCAGTGCAAAAAATGTCGAGAAACGGGCGTAATACTTCGTTGATACGAGCTTGAAACGTAGCCGGCGCGTTGGATAGGCCAAAAGGCATCACTAGCGTTTCAAATAGGCCATATCTTGTATTAAATGCCGTCATCCACTCCTGGCCCTCTGAAATTCTGATGTGGTTAAAAGCCGCAATGATATCTAGCTTTGTGTAGTACTTGGCATTGCTTAGTTTAGAAAGAGTTTCTTGTACGAGTGGAAGGGAATATCTATTTTTGATAGTGATCGCATTTAAGCCTCGATAATCGACACAAAATCGTAAGCCACCTCCCGGTTTTTTGGCAAATAGGACTGGTGCGGCTGCTGGAGATTTACTGGCGCGTATAAAACCTTTCGTGAGCTGTTCATTTAGATATTTTCGTAATACTTGGAGTTCATCGACAGACATATTATAAAGAGGGCCATGGGGTGGTGTCGTACCGGGTTGGAGTTCGATTTTGTGGTCACAATCTCTGTGAGGTGGAAGTGTATCAGCACTGTTGTAGTCAAATACGGGCAGATGCTGGTGGTACTGTAATGGTAGTTTCTTTTTAGGGTCCGGTCGGTCTTTAGTCTGGAGAGCTACTTGAATATCTTCAAGCGAAAAGCCGGCCATATGCATATCAGCAGCTCTATGACGAGAAGCTGTTTGAGTTTGGAGTTCATTGTAAAAGGGTTGTAGCTCATGAAACATCTTTTGTATAGGTGTGGGGCTGGTAGGAGGATTTACTGAGGGTAAATCCGGCGTTTGGGAGTCAACTCTTACACCCAAGTCCCGTAACCTCTTATCGACTTCATAGAGGGATAGAGAAAATATTTTAACATTGGGTTGTTTAGAGAGTGTTTGGAAAGCGGCAGCTCCGACTTTCCTCGGGCGTCCTTTACTATATCCATTTAATTCGCAGTTTATAGTTGAAAGATGGCTCTTAAAGCTAGGGACGGTTGTCTGGCGTGTGTTTGATTGAAAGCAATGTGTCTTACAATATTCTGAATTGAAAGAGACGACATCCTGTGCCCAATTGACTTAGGGATTATGTTTTCGGAGCCACTTACGACCAAGGATGAGTTCATACTTGCCAAGATTTGTTAGAAAAAAAGTTATTGATTCTTTGTGGCCCATGATATCAATTTTTATTGTTGTAGTGTGTGTTATACACGCAGCTAATGAACCATCAACAAGGTAGAGTTGGCGAGGGAGAGAGAGTACAGTGAGAGGGAGGTTTCTTTTTTGCGCATAGTCAAGATCGTAGAAATCGTCGGTTGCACCACAGTCTAGAAATGCGTGTGAGGGGAATTTATTTTTGTTTAAAACTATAGTACAGGGGAGAAGGAGATGATCTTTGTGAGGAGCTGAAATTGATGATATTACCAAATCTTTCACACTAGTTTCGCCTGAGATATCTTTTTCCCAACTTGTAAAAAATTTCAAATTTTCGTACGAATGACCCTTAATTGGTCCCTGATCGCGACGCTGATCAGAGACTAGACTTTTTCCTCCTCGATGACTGTCTTGTTATCCCGAGACTTCTTCTTACCCTCATTCCAACGTGCTTCAGCGCAAACCCGAGCTCGGTGGCCAGGATCATAGCACCAGCTACATAAATTATTCTCAAAGCAGTAGTCGCGCTTTGCAAGCTTTTCTGCTTCGTTTCGTGGAATGCGATGGTTTGTAGCGTCTCTTGTGGTCCAAGTGATATGAGTAGAAGCTTTTGAAGCACTGAGGTCCATAGGGTCACCCCCAGCGGCATGATATTGGGCATTCATGGGCCGTAAAGCTTGAAAAGAGCTAGTGAAACTTGGTTTATTCTTTGTATAGTTTGGGTTAGAAGAACGGAGTACAGCATCGATATGACGGACTTCAACTAAGTAAGAGCAGATATCCGCGGGCATTTCCTGACGTATCATTAACCTGTTTTGAATTTGGCTTACAATTAATGGGTGAAGTGAGTCGTAGAAATGGTTTATCAAAGCATCATCAGAAAGGTCAGTTTTGTGTGCAATTTCAAGCCAATCAGAAATATGGTTAGATGTTTCTTTCTGGCCCTGCTTGGTAACTAAAATTTGGCGGCGAGCAGTGTTGCATTCATCTATATCGGCGAAAGCTTGCTCCAGTAGTGTCAGCATAGCGTCGGAAGAAGAGAGGTTGATTATGCCGTCTCTCTTTATGCTGTGTGCTATGGTGGAGTATGCTTTGCCTTTGAGTCGAGACACTATGTATGACATCTTGCTCTGTTCAGATGGGTACCAATCAGCATTGGAGATAAATTTCATGTTAACCTTTCGGATGAATAGTGGGAGTTCTTTGCGTGATTCAGAACTTTCAGCAGAGAAGACTTCGGGATCCGGGTATTCAGCAGATCTTTGGGAACTATGAGTAGTGCCTTGGGCAAAGTTAAGAGCTTGCTGTTGCAGTTCCTGATTTTTTTGCTGAAGTAGGGCATGTTGTTGTCGGAGTTGAGAACTAGAGGCAATTTGCTGTTCGAGATGTTGTACTTGCTGTTGAAGGACAGAGTTCTGCTGCTGTAGTTGTGAGCTAGCAGTAGTTGACACTAACTTTTTCTTTTGAAGCTTAGCAACTGTCTCCGAAAGCTCAAGATTTTTTTCGAGTATTACGTCGTATTCATTCTTGTGCTTGCTGAATTGAGCATCAAGCTGGATGTAGGAGTTTGCCAGGGTCATGATCTCTTCGCCGAGCTGTGTGTTGTCGACAGCCCCATTGTAACCCTGCATGGCAGTGGCAAAGAGATCAGCGTTCGGTACGGAACAGAGGAGAGGGAATCTTTGAACAAATAGAGCATCCCGACCGTTAAATTGGTTGGGAAGAGTAGAATTAGTCGGCTGAGCGTATGGAATATTAGCCCCTTCGAGATTCCAGGGGTTGGTTTCCATATTTCTTCAAAATGTTACAATGTGATGCAGTCTTGGGATTGAGTTGATTAGCTAGACTTTGCTAAAAGCTCAAGTGTAGTATTTACGCGCTAGGGCAGTAAATTGTAAAATGTTGGTAGACAATATGTCAAGGTATGGGTACGTGGAAGATTGACGAGGTCAAATCTGGTGAATGAGATTGTCTACAAGGAGGAAAGGTGGTCCACCTGAGGCTAGAGAGTAACTATATACAGACGCGTTTGCGCTCTACGCGATTCCCTAATCACACGTGACCCTATCTAAATGTAGCAATACCCTAACAGAAATCTGAGGCATGAGTGCTCTTCCTTTACGTTGAATCATCTATTCTGTACTTTTCTTTGATATTGTATCATAGCTAGATAGCTGCATACGCAATTAAAACCTGATGCAAAAAAAATAAAAAACATATAGTTTCGCTAAATCTACATGGTAGTCCGTCACCTCGCAGTCACAGCAATTATTTTTACCTTTATTCTGAATCTCATGGGCCTATCACCTGCCGAGCACACTGGTGTACCTGATTACCGATCACGTTTAACCTGCACAAAAGGCTAGCAATCGTGTAGCCCACATATGCAAGAGCAATGTGGATCGTACACTTCGCGAGCTATCTGCACAAATGGTTAAATAGTTTCATACGGAATGATATCGTGCTCAATATGAATCGTCAGGGGTACACGCAATAGAGTTAGGTTCATCATTGTGAGATTTAAGCACTGACTAGTTTAGCTATCCTATTATTAAATATATTATTCTCCGATAGTATGAAATTTGTTAGGATACCCAGTTCGCTTACAATCATATGTCATTAGGAATATTTCACACATGTATTCATCTAAATTTGTATCATCTTCCTCCGCACGTTTGGTGAGCACCCCGACGAATGCCTTCAAACCCATATACATGCAATCAAAAGCGCGTCATCTCGAGTACTACGGTCATACCGCAAAATGTATAGCCATAACGTGAGTCTAGCTCGTATAGTACTAGGGACGCGATTGGGCCTTTCTCTCGAAGTGAGTAGAGATTAGGCGGGTGAGAGTATAAGTAAGGGCGTTGACTAAGCACACAGCCAGTATTATGGGTCGTTCGAGTAGCGCGTAGACGCACTAGCGACATTGAAGAAAATCATTGTGTTATCCATCTGAACATTAATATGAGCACATCAGCCTGGCACACATCTTTGTGTTACTTTCACTGATATTATCTGAATGATTATATAGTAGGAGCAGTGGTTAAGCGCACTGAACGAAATTAAGATTGTCAATGAGACGTCCATGGTAAAAGATGAGCAGCTTCATATGGCAGTTCAATTTTTAGCGCGCAAATTTGGTGATGATATGCCAGACAGTCTTCAAATGGAACGTAAGAGGTTGAAGGGTTTTTTTAATCGAATATACCTATAACACCAAAGTAACTATAATCCCAGAAATCTCACTTTTCTCACGCTCATTGTCCCCTCCTTTATCTTATCTCTTACAGCTGTTGCTAGGTTCCTCCGTTCACTCCGCAGTTTTCGTGCTTCCATGGCTTCTCTGATTCTATATTCTGCCAGCTGTCGCTTTCTCTTTTGACTCCTTAGGTATGCCTCACGGGGGGTTGGTTTAAAGCCAATTCCATTTATACCCTCACCATCATCTTCTGGATCATCGGGATCGTATCCGGTGATTTCATCCTCTCTCCAGGTTAATTCGGAAGGATAGGAGTCAACAGTTGATACCTCATTTTCGGAGACTGGTTCAACTTCAGTTTCCTGACTTAATATGCAAAATTTGGAGACTGGAATGTGGGTTATTTCGGCTTCAACGATAGGTGCTGGATCTGGTGGTTTTTCGCATTTCTGAGCTCTGCGAGTCTTGACTGTACGTTGACTTCTTACCGTGTGCGGCGCCTTACTGGACCTACATGGCTTTGGCGATGAGTTTCCCATGAGATAATTGGGAGCGTTGTTTCCCAGAACGACTTCCCTAGCTCTGAGCGCGAGGGCAGGATCAACCGTGCGCTCGGGCCCTATAAATATGGCGAATTGCTTTATTCGGCGGGAGAATCCTTTCCCTGCCGGCGGTGATGTGGCTTGTATTCCTCTATCATAGTCTTGTACCTCTTGCACAGAATATAATTTATCATCCTGCAGTCTGACCTTTTTACGAAGCTGGTAGTTCCCATTCCGCGTGGCCTCGTACGTGGCGAAGCTTAGATGTTTATCCGTTCCAATTCTCTGCTTATAATCGTCTTCTCTATTTTTATGTGGTTGAAATTGTATTGGGAGCCACGAAGCTGTCATGTCTCGAATATCATTCCCATCCTCTGGATCCTGTAGGTGCAATCCTTCAAAGTTGTATGATACCATAGTCTGCACATGCGGAGTGTCATTTTTCCCTACGGTTACGATGACTCCAGGAATTATTGTGTTTAAACGCATATCAAGGCTTTGCGGGAAATCCCATTGACCCTCTGAATCAATAATAAGTGCAATATCAAAGATGCGTGACGGTACTTGCAAATCGCTAAGTGAGGATTCAGAATGTGGGGTGGCCATAATGGAATTGGATATTTCATGTTATTTAGTCAATGTTGAATATTATGTTTTGCTTGGGGTGTATATTGTTTTTTCAAGAGCGTGCGCAGATAAAGTTTGGGAAGTGGTTCGCAGACACTGGAATGAGACGATCGAGCTCTAGTGTCTCTACCAGCGCCTAATAAAACGGCTTGTACAGAAAGTGCAGATCAGTACATAGCAGACGCTGCATTGATTTTCCCTATGATGAGTTAAATTCAGTGGCAAAGACTGGGTCAAACTGCGCTTGCCTTCCCACATTCCCAGGGCTAGGCAGAAATATCTGAGCTACCCACTAATCCTTGTGTCACGTTTCCGGAATAGGAAGCACGACAGTCTAGAACTTCGAGACGAAGAAATCGAGAATCGCTGGGCTCAATACAATCAGTCGCTTTCCGGCGTGTTTATGAAGGACCACGAACTCACGTGCCTGTTACGCCGCGGGTTGGCGCGTCGGCTGGTTGCAAATGTTGTCGTGACGACGGTTGCCCATGCCCTATTAATTCGCATGATCTTGACGGTTGGATGAGATGAGCTAGAAAGTAGCTTCTCTGCTATCCCATTCAGTGAGCATGCTTGGAGCGAATCACATTATTCACTATCTTGGTCGCGATTTTAGTCTGGTAGCCGGGCCTGGTATTGGTCAAACGAGATCTTTTCCTCATTCATCCCTTTAGTATTTCATGGGCCCATGGGAACAGCTAGTCACTACTTGGAAGGTCTAGAGCATCTCACGCCGCTTCTAGCTACAAGGGCCTGGATAGCGTCAAGTTAACTACATTGAGGAGCTTTTCTTACAGACCAAAATTCAAGACTGAAACAAGGTGAAGATTGAACATTGGGTTACAAAATATTGAACATGATCTATTATGGATACTGCGAAGTTAATTAGTGGTCTAATGTTCAGCAAAGCTTGGGTCAACAAGGTAGCGGTGAGATATTTGACGTCGTTTTGCACTAAGCTTGGATAGACAAGCTACTGGTAGATAAATTCAGGATGTCGTTGGACTTTGAAACTTACGATTTAGTTTGCTGTGCCCGGACTTCCCAAGTAAAAAAGGAGTCGGAGCTAGTAAAATTCGCTCTTGACGCAAGAGCACATTGTGATGGCTTTTCACCGGACAATGCATCTTCTCGACATGCACATCGTTTTTGAGCACGATGAGATCGAAGCTAATGTCCTCTAAATCATTACAGGCGTGCCAAGTTGTGGGGCTCCAAGATCCCAGTTCTCACGCGATAACAACGATAGAGTTTGTTTCATGATAACTGCTGCCAGGTCCTGGGATGCTCAACTTATCCCACTTGACGTCAATTACAGACCCGTAATGCGTTCGAATAGCAAGACTGGACCACGTCATTCGGAGAATCGTTGTGTGGTATGACGAAGGCATCTACGGATAACATAGGGGTTCGCAACCCTCCAGCGGCATGAACACAAGAAGTGAGAGCGGCTTTTCGGAGTAAACAAGTGAGGCCCACTTTAGGATTTCTGGTTGAGATAGAGGGCTTGATTGGTTTCCGAATCATTCAAAACATCAGGCAAACGTTCAGGTGCCTAGAGTAAACTCCAATTACATGGCCATTTTCTCAACATTTACCGAAATCAGTATGTAAATGCCACTGAGCCGTTATATATCCCACAGCCAGCGTCAAATCATGGGTGCATAAATGGACGTGGCCCCTGCCGGTAGTTATTGCCCCTATTTCCCGGCATATATGCATGATAAAGTTTGGGGAGCAGTTTCGTCTCAGGCACAGTGGAACCGCTAGAACACCACATCCAGCCAGCAGTACTATGCTTCCTTGTCTTACGGTAGACCATTGACTCAAAGCACGCCTGTAACTATTGTGTGTGTGTTTTATTGTACTACTTGAGTCTACGACTATCTAGCACATTGGGCTCCTCTCTGACCCAGGCCACACCTTGTACAGTGATCCTTATCTCTCATGTTTCTTGAAAGATTATTGGTATATTGCCCGTGATGAATAGCCATTCAGGTCAGTCTTTACCCTTGGAATTCAGCCACCTTTTCCACGGAACCTTCTACCCAAAAAAAAATGGTAGCAATGAAAACTGCGTGCGCGGGAAAAAGTCTCAAAAAACCTGCAGCCCTAGCTAGGCAAGGCCTAGACTCTGGGACCACATGAGGTGCGCACATTCATCTACATCTCCCTTCTTTGTAACAGGCGAGGTCGACTTGATCCAATCCACCATCTCCGTATCGGGTGCTGGGTACGGTCCGGAAACTCATTGGATAGCTTCTCCTCCATGATCAAGGGTTGGTGATGAGTAGGGCTCCGACCCTACCATCTGATCTGATCGTGGTTAGGTTCATGATAATGGTGATAAGGGAACGTGTTGAGAGATGAACACGATACAGACCGCGAAAGCGAAAGCGATTGGGAATCCTCGTCGAAGTGAGGACTTTGTTACTCAATCTCGGCTCTGCAGACTCTACAGTGAGAGCTGGAGGTTCGTAGGAAACACCACTGACAGGTGTTGAGAATAGTCCCCCACGCCTGTGACTACTATCACAGAGTGTCTGATAAGTCTTCTGATCTGCTGCGGGTTGATTGTCCAATTCCCAATCGAAAGCTCCAAACTGTGCTGCGCTATCTAAATTACATAATAGCGCTTATGTCATTATCATGACTTCTAATTAGTTTACACGTGACCAGGACATCTAGTACCTTAAGGAGCATCGGAGAAAAAAGAAAGACCTAGATTGCCTTGAGTTAAGCCCCCCTTGCATACCTCTGTTTCTTTTTTTAGTGATTCCCTTCACCAGCTGAAGTGAGTGTGAAACATGTGAGGAGATAAATGACTAATCACCTATCGTCAGTGTCAGCGTAGATCCTTTGAGTGGGACATTCTTTCACGGCCTAATCCAATTCAACTTCGCAATACCGCAAACATTGGGCGCCAAAGCGATCATATTGGACCTTACTACCGAGGTTTAATTTACGACAGAACTTATTATTATTAATTCATTTTATTGTCCTGTCTGAGTCTATGACTATGTTTGACATTCAGGTCCTCTCAACCTACAGGCCAAGGATACCTATACCAGTAGTATATCCCCTCCTATGCCTCCCATTCAGCTCCCCTCAAATAGTACCACCCCTCACAAGTCCTCATTCGATCGTACACGTAGAAGAACCCTCAACCCTTCATTATCTCCCCTCTCCAGCCAACGAAACGATGGCCATTTGCGGGCGTATGGCAGCCGGAAATTTTTGCAGAAACACTTGGTGTGGAGCTCTCCTAATACTGACATTGAGACTAGATCCGAAGATACAGTGACCCTTCTAAAGTGTTCGAAGAGGCTGGCCAGCTGGGCACTGCAGACTTGTGGGTACCTCAAAGAATTAATACTCTACCTCCCTCTAGCCTCCTGCCAACTTCTTCCCGCAGGTCGTGCTGAAATTTCAGAAAAGTCTTGACAGAACGTAATTGCTGTGTGGTAGCTTAGCCTAACTTTGTTTGTGCCTTCTAGGGCGCTGGGGAGTGCCGTTGATTCATCGACAAAGAAGCCCTCCTGGCTAATTAGCCGAAATCTCAGTCTTGGCGCCCACAAAAAATCCAAAGTTGAAAACTCCCCGAAAATATCAGTCCTGGCATGGTCTTCAGAGACCTTAGTCCCCTCTCGCTCCACATCTCAGCCGCTTGTTCTCCCTCAAGTAGTTTGTCCCGTTAGAGCAACAGTCTCTCATAATTCAGGACACAGGCTTTGTATGTCATGACTTAATTTACTCCTTGCGGGTATAGGTAGCGTCGTAAATTTGTAGTGAGTGATGGCCGGTAATAAATGGGGCAAGCTCCTGTATGCAATTGGAGCGACTTCTTTATTGGTAGTTGAGGCGAGATGATGCGTGGTTAGAGATGGATTGAGGACTCTGATGATAATGATTACAATGATGATAATGATGAGTGCGGCATGATTGAGAAGTCGTCAAATGGAGATATGCATGTGTTTGCTTTCGACTTCGATTCGGATGCGATTCTTCTTGGCGATCCCAGATATGCAGAGCATACTGAGCCATTACACTGGCACCACTGGAAGGTGAAGAATTCGTCTTTGCCGGCTTACGACAGAAACAAGAGGGCCCAGAGAGTGGAAAAATTGAACCCCCTGTACGTGGTGTCCAATATAAACCTAAGAGTCAAATATTATCTTATAGCCAAGTTCAGTCATATTTTGCACACACACTCTCAAGTTGGCCCACAAGGCAACGATACATGACTCTTCACCACATCAATCTCTCACTCCCAACCAGACCACTTCCCACCAAAGCCTCATCAAGTCTGCAAGCACCATCTAGTACTCTCTCGTTAAATTGACTACAACTCTTGTCAAATCAGTTTCTTAGCTCAAATGGCCCACATTTACACGCTCACGAGGGATTAATTGCTAGGGGACGAGGATCATGGAAGCCGCACGCAAGGGCAGCCACAAAATAATCTACATTTTTCTACGTGAAAGGGAACAGGACAAATAGACAAGGAGACGATAATGATAAAGTTTTTGGGAGTAGAGGCTGAATTCATGTCTCTACTGCAGTAGGTAAAGCTGTGACGTTGTGTGTGATTCTTGATTGTTCCTCTATCGCTCCAAACTCATGTGCTATAATACTAGTTGGGGGCAGCCCTTGAAAGTCAACGTGTCATGATATACATCACATGACCTGACAACGCAACATAAATAAAAATTTCGGCTGTCCAAAATTTGGCGCCTTAAGGCCCATGCAGGTTTTATCGGAAGAAATATACTCTGATTGGTGTGACTCAATTTGACGTTTTGATCACCAACACTCAATTTTCATTTGCAGATACCACTCGAAGTAAATGCTTGCGGCGTACAACTTCTTCCGTGCATACCCAACGTATGGATAGCGTGAAAGCCCCCCAAGCTATCCTTGCGTGATTTCGTCACCCAATATACTGTATCACCGCGAGAGAATGTGTTGTGTGGGCCAAACTAGATTGGAATCAGCTTTCTCTTCTCTTGAATGGTGCAGGTGTTCAAGGTATTCAGAACCTATTTGGGATAACAGGCCGGACGGTGTACCACAGCACCATTCAACCCTAAAGTGATTTTTGAGAATAAAATTCACAGCATGAGTGTCTTTTTAGGCAAGAAAGTCATTTGTTATGTAACATGTAGCACTAATAATGTGTCATATTTGGATAGTCGGGTTGAAATCTAGACATAACAGACCGAATTGCACGCAATGCGGAGTCGACGAAGGCTACTCATCTTCGATCGCTACCAGCTTTGGTGAGGTCTCGGTTGGTAATGATCTCGGTGGTATAAATGTTAATCCATCACGTAATCAGGACACAATGTTTCTACCTAAGCGAGGTAGAACAAAGATAGATAATTTGATTTAGATTATAAAAAAACACCATTAAACTAATTAAAGATAAGTTCAGTAAAACTAAAAACCTCACTGATCCTAACCTTTTATCTCTGATCCTTGAATATCCAATATCTTACGATTCGTACAGTATTGACTTGACGGTCAACGTTCGATTCTATCATTCCAAATAAACCTCTAGAACTTTAATAAGTTGCATGTCGCAACATGATAAAGTAAACACCGGCGCTGTTGCACTTGTTCTCCCTAGATTACACAACATTGAGCATCAAGGCAAAACAAAGTCCCTGGAGTTGTTGGGCACTTTCCAAAATGCCACTCGCCTCGATACGAAGACACCTTAGCCTCCGTACCAGACGTTGCGGTCTGCTTACTAGCTCGCAGAAATCTAAGAATATTATAGCTGTCACTTGGAAAGAGGAATATTAGCTTCCATTTCGGGGTAAGCTCTAGACTTTTTACTGTAAGGTTCGAAAAGTGTCGTGATAATCCAGTTCAAAAATCTCACAGGTCATATGTCTTTTGATTTATACTTCGTTGGATCAAAAATCTTTTATTTTATTGGTTCATAACGTAAGAAATAAAAGTCATTATACGGGGTTCGTCTAGTGACTCTGATATGACCTCTTGGCTGATCAGGCGTTTCTCGATATTATGATAACGGTCAGCTGTTACTTCTTGCCAATCTCGTGTGAAATATTGCCATGTCGAATCATAAACATGCTGTAAGGATATTGGGAGCGCAACAACAAATTGAAATTTGTGCCTTTCTCAGTTGGTTAGCAGGAGGACTGTTCTCAACACCTGTCAGTAGTGTCCCCTACGAACCTCCAGCTCTCACTATACAGTCTGCAGAGCCGAGATTGAGTAACAAAGTCCTCACTTCGACGAGGATTCCCAATCGCTTTCGCTTTCGCGGTCTGTATCGTGTTCATCTCTCAACACGTTCCCTTATCACCATTATCATGAACCTAACCACGATCAGATCAGATGGTAGGGTCGGAACCCTACTCATCACCAACCCTTGATCATGGAGGAGAAGCTATCCAATGAGTTTCCGGAGCGTACCCAGCACCAGATATAACGATGGTGGATTGGATCAAGTCGGCCTTGAATGTTACAAAGAAGGGAGATATAGATGATTATGCGCACCTCATCTGGTTCCAGAGTCTAGGCCTTGCCTAGCTTGGGCTGCAGGGTTTTGAGACTTTTTCTCGCTCACGCAGTTTCCATTGATACCATTTTTTTTGGGTAGAAGGTTCCGTGGAAAAGGTGGCTGAATTCCAAGGGTAAAGACTGACCTGAATGGCTATTCATCATGGGTAACATATCAATGAACTTTCAAGTAACAAAAGAGGATAGGAGCACTGCATAAAGTGTAGCCTGGGTCAGAAAGGAGCCCAATATGCTAGATAGCCTAAGACTCAATTAGTACAATAAACACACCTCTCTTTTTCTCTCGTCAGATTATTGATACTGCTTGGCAAGGAGCCGGACCTAATCTAAGTATTGCAACTTCATTCACATAACCAACTACCCAGTTACCATTTCCCATGACTTCTGCCATGTAGAGAAAGAAAATAATTGGCGACTATAGGGAACCTTGTGGGATCCCAGATTCTAGAGGTATTGGATCCGTTACTCAATCATCGTATCGAACGCAGATAGATTGCCCTTCGATAAAGGATATGGTTCAGACAATATCTGATTCCGGCCATCTCAAGTTTCTTATTTTTTGTAGCCGTCTTCCATGAATTACAGCGTCAAAGCCCCCCTGAAAATTCAGAGTGACAACAACTTCTTTTTGCTTCCTTTGCATGGCATGTTCCACATTATAGAGTACGCACGCGAAAAGGTCACTTGCAGAATTACCAGGCAGTGTCCCGAAAACTGGTGAAGTATCACCTGATTTCATAGAGAGATGCGTGCCACTTGCTTCGCGGCGGCGAACAGCTGGTCGGACCCTTTGTATATTCTGGGTGCAATAGGGCATGCTAAGGCGTCGAGTGGTTCTTTAGGTACTGAGTCGTCCGACTCGTGACGATGATCATGAGCTGTGCACTGGCACGACTTTAAACTAAATCAAACACAAATCAGAATTGAAGCCCTATATTTTACTATATTGAGAAAGAGCAATATTGAAATTATAAGTCGCAAGTCCATTTGTGATACGAGTTACTTTGTAGATAGTTTATCACCCAATTATAGTCGGACTATTTTTTGATCGGAAAATTATTCAGAACAGTATATCGCTATCTCATCGTGATATTCAGTTCATTTCGAGGCATAGTCCACATTTGTAAGGTATGGGAGTTGAGAACGATAACTGACAAGACCAAGGATGTTCTTAGCACTTTTCTACCTGAATGTATTTTTCCGAAGAACTTCTGAATCGAAAACAAATTTGTCTGATTTTTCTTTGTGATATGAGATTTCCATCATATCTCGCTCGTTTACCGGAAAGAATTTGATAAAATAATTACTAGCTCTCGTATGAATCCATTCAAACGAGGATACACGCCAGAGTTGGAGATAAAAAAAGATCATGATGAAAATAAAGAGAGTTGAAAGCTATCCGAGAAGTTGGTGCTTGTAAAACTTACTGCATTAATATATCGAGATGAATACTTGATGAAATGATCAATCGTCAAATTATGATGGATGACTAAATATCATCCTCGAAAGGGACTATGGGAACACACAAGTTACGCTATTGGGTGTATTTTGAAGTAAATTCTAGCTCAGTACCGACAATAAATTCTCGTGCCATTGTGATAAATATATCCTCTTCTTTCTCTTGAAAGACCGCTATTCAAATTAGTAGTCCTATGAGTTAGGATTGTTAATAAAGTAACTTGGGATTAGTCAGGTCTCAAAGCTGTACAATTCAATTTTGCGCAACTTGTATGCCTTAACTAGATCATAATTAATCAATCTCAAATAAGAGCATAAATACCATTTGTTAATGCCGCACTAGTGTTGTGGGTATATGCTGAAAAGAGTAGTTGAGAAATTATTCACTTGCTTAAAACGTGGTATTATAAACCATGGCAAAGCCAGAGTGTTTGAGTTAATTTTGACTATTGCTTATTACTTCATCTGGGCCACTGGCTTTTGCCCAAATCTTTTCAAAGTCGACTTTTTCATTTTCAAACATAACTTTCACTTTAGCCATAGTTAAGTTCTGTTGCTCTGCTCCAAAATCTCCGGTTTGTGATGCTTCTTCAACCAACTTTACCCATTTGATGAAGAGACTTTCTTTTCCCATCGCGTTTAATTCATCCCTAAATTTAATGATATTCATTTTGACATTTCTTCCCTCGTCCCTATCCACTGTAGTGTTGCATGACTTGAATGTCAACCATCCATGTTTTTTGCTGTGTAAAAGTATAGCTGTAGTTTTGAAGTCATCAAAAGATAAGGTATTTTTATCTATTAGACTTGTTGCAGTGCTCATAGCGTTCCAATCAAGATCCCATTCCTTGTTTATCATCATGTATCCTGTTTTATCATTCATGTATAGAGGATCGATAGCTTTCTGTATCATATAGAGTAAAACTTTCTTGTCTTCCTCGATTTCATTTATACGGTCAAAATCAAAGTTCGAGATTCTACTCCTTCGTACAACAATCTCTTTCTCTCTGAATCCAATCGCGAGCCTCCAAGAGAATGGATTTCCATTTCGGCTACCAGCAAAGAATTCTCTAGGCCAATGCCATAGGAATAGATACAAAATCAAGTCAATCATGAACACCAAAAATCGTTGAAATATTTCTTGAGACAGGGTGCTCATCGAGCTCTGGGCTACATTTACGGTGAGCTCGTTAGGATGTCCTAGCAAGGACCAAATGATTCTAATGTACCAAGGACCAATGGCTTTGACGCGCCATAAGAGTAAGCCGATTATTACAACATTGGTTAAAAGTGGTACCATAAATATTTTGAGTTTGAAATCCTTTGGTTTTTTATCGATGTGTGTGATGTAGATGCATGATTTTTCAAGTTTTGAGAGAAGCGTTGTCAAACTCGATGGGGCTTTAGAGAATGGTACATCGCAGTTGAGCTCCGGCGGAGAGCTCTGCTTGAAAGCTCGCGATTTTTTACCTTCTCTAGGCATTACTTTCCTGAATTCCTGGTAAAGGTGAAGCAATTAATTAAACGTTGTTGCCTGTTGCTAGCGCGCCCTCGCCCATACCAATAGTATTACAACATGTCACACACACAACAAGATTGCTGCAAAAATCTTGTGGAAAAGACATGAGACAACACTGTTGGCTTAAAGTTATACTAATTAATCTACTCTAACTTTCATGCGCTAACTTCAAAATAGGAATCATGGAAACCAGGTCTATCTACCATCAGCTCAAGTAAGATCAGACAGCCTTGGACATATCTAATATTGCAACGCACATTCCTTCAATCTTCTTACTCAGGCACGAATTTACTGGGAAAAACCATCCCGAGACCTAGAAGAGTTTATCAGTATCTCCACCAACCCTCTTGCGGCAGGTTTATTAATGATGGGTCGACAGAAAGACCTGTAATCTTTGAAAGAAGCAAAAAATCTGGAATAGCATCATGGGGACTAACTTCTGGGAATGGGACTATCACGGGTCATGGAAACCCCGCGACAAAAAAGCAGAACGAATCACCGTCCTGGGGCATGTCTTCAGCCAAGGAGGATAATGTCAAGTCTACCAGCGTTGGAATAAACTCCAAACCTTCAGCGCCAGCATGGGGACTACCTTCTGGGAATGGGACTATCACGGGTCATGGAAACCCCGCGACAAAAAAGCAGAACGAATCACCTTCCTGGGGTCTGTCTTTAAACATAGGGGCTAGTTTTGAATCGCTGAGCTATAGGGCGAAGAACGAGGCTCCAACACCCAATCAAGGATCGTTTCTTCATTCCGAGACTAGCTCTACTAAAATACAGAGTGATCACGCGAGAGTTCCTGGGTCCAAAATTAGCCCAGTCAGTTCATCTCTTGACGAGCGAAGTAAAATGGCATCGTTATCACACTCATTTAACACCAGCAAGCCAAATCGAAAGTTTGAACATAAAGAATCTGTCAGAAGCCAAATTACCTCTAAAAATGCGTATGCAGAACATGATCGTTCACGTCAATTTTCCATCAAAGAATCGTCCCTTTCGAGCTGGAGCTCTAGCCGAAGAGATACCACAGCTATACCGCAAACATTTTCTCGAAAGACCATAAAAATGACAGGAATTCTGCGCAGGGAAGGAAGTAATTACAAGCAGCATAAAAATTCACTAGTTGCGGATGAAAATACTAGTATATTTGATAATTCTTTGAATCGAGGAAGAAGGGTAGAGATCGAAAATATGCTAACCCCATTAGATCCCGGAATAAATTCTAACAAAAACTTTGATTTTGAAGAAAGTAGAGCCATGAGAGAGAGGAATGCTCAGTTCGGAAAATACACTCCACTGCGTCAACAAAAGAATAGAGAAAATGAAAATCAGCCAAATTATGTGCCTCAGTCCAGGGAAATCACAGACCCTAGAAATAGAGAAAATTTTCCACATTTGAATGGAACAGTAGAAAGCGAACCCATAAAATCTCAAATTATTGAAAATCAAAATAAAGACGTGAGAATGATTAATTTAACAGATATCCGACCAAATAAATCCAAGAATAATCACGATCCAGAGGAAGATAAAAGGGTAGAATTATCACAGCAAACCTACAATACATCCGAAGAATCAGGATTCGATAAGACACAAGAGCCTAAATACATAGAGAAATTTCCGCGCAGTACACTAGAACAGGCTTCTAATACTAGCGATCTTGAGGGGAAATATCAGCCTAGTTCCTCATCTCGCTCAATAGATTTAAGCATGAATACTAGGCCGAGAAGAGAGAAGAAAAAGCGGGGCCTTGAGAATAAGCCAAAGTTCGAAGATGAAAAACCCAAAATATTTGGTAAAGATAAGGATAAGGCTAGAAGAGAAGCAAAGTTTAGTCGGAGTGAAGACGAAGAGGTTGAAGCACAAAAAAATCTAGAGCAAAAGTTAGAGCGTCAGCGAATCAGGGCCGAGAAAAGAGCAGCGAGGAAGACTTCAATAACTCCATTACTTCTACCGCAATATATAACAATAGCGAATCTTGCTGTTGCTATGAGGATTAGATATGAAGAACTTGCTACTAAGATGAAAGAGCTGGGCTACGAAGATACCCACTCAAATGTAATTTTAAACGCAGAGAACTCGACTCTTATTGCAATGGAGTATAGTTTCGAGCCAATGATAGAAAGAGATGACTCTGAAGATTTGAAAGCGAGAGAACCTCATCCAAACCCGTCAGAGCTACCTCGGAGACCACCTATTGTCACAATAATGGGTCACGTTGACCATGGAAAAACTACGCTTCTTGATTTCTTGCGAAAGTCTTCAGTCGCAGCAAGTGAATTCGGTGGAATCACACAACATATTGGAGCCTTTTCTGTACCAATGCCTGGCGGAAAAATTATAACATTCCTCGACACCCCAGGTCATGCAGCTTTTTTGAGCATGCGTCAACGCGGTGCAAATGTAACAGATATCGTTGTGCTAGTTGTTGCATCAGACGATAGCGTCAAACCTCAAACAATTGAAGCTATAAATCATGCTAAGGCAGCAGATGTGCCCATGATTGTAGCGATCAATAAAATTGACAAGCCAGAAAGCGATCCTGAAAAGGTCAAACTTGACCTCGCACGATATGGAGTAGAAATTGAGGATTTCGGTGGGGATACCCAGGTAGTTTGTGTAAGCGGAAAGACTGGGAAGGGTATGACTGAGCTGGAGGAAACAATTTCAGCGTTATCGGAGATTCTAGACTTACAAGCTGAAGCCACTGGTCCTGTCGAGGGGTGGGTACTGGAGGCAAGTATTAAAACCCAAGGAAAGGTGGCAACCATTCTTATCCGACGCGGAACACTTCGATCGGGTGATATTGTAGTGGCAGGAGATACTTGGGCCAAAGTCCGCATCTTGCGGAACGAATTTGGTACAGAGCTTATCGAAGCGGGCCCTGGAACTCCTGTCGAGGTCGATGGTTGGCGAGAACAACCACTTGCTGGTGATGAAGTACTACAGGCCGAGAATGAAGCTATAGCAAAGCGAGCAGTTGTCTATCGATTAGAGAAAAAGCAACTCGACAGACTTGCTTCTGATATTGAGGTAATCAACGCCGTTCGAGACGAAACTCGAAATCTCAGAAAACTTGTCAAGGCTGCTCGTGATGAGGCAATAGAAGAGAAGAACGCTGGAAAAGGCTGGAAATTTGTTTCACCTCAGCGTCAGGAGAAGACGGATGGACCCAAAAAGGTTCCTTTCGTGATCAAGGCTGACGTTAGCGGCTCTCTAGAAGCAGTACTAGACCAGGTCAATATGCTTTGTTCAAAAGAGGTTGAACCCAACGTGATAAGATCTGGGGTTGGACCGGTATCTGAGTTCGACGTTAGTCATGCGTCTGCTGCGAGCGGATATATAATTAATTTTAGCTCCGCTATCGAACCACATATCGCCCGATTAGCGGCTGAATCAGGTGTAAAAATCATTGATAGTAAAGTCATCTATGCCCTCATCGAAGCAGTCAAGGCAGAGCTTAGCAAACTCCTCACACCAATTGTGACGAAAACAGTAGTTGGTGAAGCAGAAATATCAATGATTTTCTCAATCAATGTCAAGAATCGGAAACCAGAAATAGTTGCTGGTTGTAAAGTTGTTAACGGCTCGATCAAGAAAACTGGTAAGGTTCGTGTTCTACGCTCGGACGATATTATTTTTGATGGTAGGTCTGCTCGACCCTTACCTCTACAACACACTAATTTGATGTTAGGCGAACTGTCATCGCTCAAGGTACTCAAAAGAAGTGTCTCAGATGTAGAAAAAGGTAATGAGTGTGGTATAGTCTTCAAGGACTGGACGGAGTTCAAGCCTGGTGACCACATCCAGCAATACGATGAGATACATCAAAAGCGCTACTTATAAGCAGACATCACTTATATAACTTGTACAGAACATTGCCCTCATCTGTGTAAAATTAAGGGGGGACCTAATGGCGTTAATCTTGGGCTTGTGCTAGGCTATCTTTCCGACGTGCACGCCGTATGGGGTTAGGGTGTTGAGGATGAGAAGAAATGACGCTCCTCCAAAGTCTTTAATAGTGATTTATCCCAAAAGTATTCGGTGTCCCCTACAGAGTGGCTGTAGCCCTAAATTCGCTAAACCGTCAAACATCCAGAGAGCTTATTATCATTTTGTCTCATGGCCCACAGGTGGGATCAGCCTAAAGATATAAAGTCTATACACGACCCCAGATGGCTGCTACTCTTGATTGCTGGTGATCCGATGACAAGAGCTTAGATTAATAGTCTCCGAAGTTATGGCTAGTCATCCAGTCCAGTCCGCGGAGATACGATCCAGTTGCTCTACTGATTAAAAGCTATTTCGCAGACTGACATTTATTTAAGTGGATACAGATATACAATATTATGCAAGCAACATCTAAACTTGCTCAATGTCATTATTCTAGAACCTCCAATGATCCAAGGTCTCGTGATATCCATACCTAGAAACTCATATCAACAGTCCAAAATGAAGTGGAAATTTAATTGCCAAAAATACTCTACACTTTACTCCGACCTTAATCCTAGCAATCTCATGTCTTTTACAAATTGACGCAAAAACTTCCACTAACGAATGCTACATATTAACCTGCTTGAGTCCTCTAAAAGTCAAATCCACACCATTCTTCCTTTGGCGGGAACGGTGGTATTATACCCTCCTCAAATACCTTCTTTACTCTAGCGTAGTCATAAGCTTTTATTATCGCATCATCGTATACTAGATCACACGGTGCTTTGGCATCAGCAGAAAATGGAGGTTTACCGTTTGGGAACCAGATTCTCTCCCAAACTCCGTCCTTATTCAAGAACCCAGGATTAGAATCCCTTATTATTACGGATTTGCCTTTAAATGATTTGATTTGATCTGCATTTGTCGGGTGTAATGGTTTTTTTGATTGATCGGTTAAAGATCTTGGGATTTCTTTCGAATGATTTGGGGTTAAAGGTTGGGCTGTTGTTGATGGACCGAAGGGGTTAAATGATGCTGAAGGTTGTCCAAAAATAGAAGGTTGTGAATTCGCCACCGGACTGAAACTATTTGGCTGCTGAGATAGATTTCTGTGGTCGTTTTGGCCAAAAAGTCTTGACGCCGGCTGCGTGTCATTACCAGTGGTAGAGGGCGGCATACCAAATGGGGAGCTAGGGGACACTATCGAGAATGGATTTTGTTGGCTCGCTGAAATAGATGATTTTGTGGAAAAGGGGTTTGATTGATGTTGCGCTGAAGATGATTGCGCAGAAAAAGGGCTTGGTTTATTATTCGGGGTAGATGATTGTGTAGAGAAAGGGTTCAGCTGATTCGATGCAGCTGAAAAGGGGTGTTGCTGACTGGTTGTATTCGATGTAGATTGGACGAGGGGGCTTCTTGTATCGTTCGAAGCGTACTTTTGGAAGGGGTTGCTCTCAGTGTTAGGCTTATTTTGCCCAAATTGCACTTGATTCTGATTAACAAAGTTATTTCCTGTTGAATTACTCATAGCAGCTGACCCAAATATGCTTGACGGTTGACTGGGTGCGCCAAACACAGGCTTTGAGGCAAACGGATTGGTCGCCTGACTTTGAAATGAGGGTTGTCCAAAAGCCCCAGCAGGTGCTGTAGGAGTACCAAAAACTGGCAACGTAGGTTTCCCGAATGTCGCAATAGCATTTGTCGTTTGTTGCTGCCTATCATTGTTAGATTGGGGAGTAGATGGAGTTGTCTGAATGGAGGATCGAGGCGCGAATGGATTGGCAGAATTATGGGCAAAGGAGTTCCCAAATCGATTTCCCTCCTCTTTTCCAGTCTCATTTAAGTATTTTATAGCGTCATCAATATTTTGGATGGTATGCTGAATCTGTTGCTCTGCATCCTGTACAAGTTTGTTGGCTTCCGAGATCTGAAAACCGTCAACAAGCTATCAAGGTGCTTCTCACTTTTGCGCTCGTACTGCTTGCTGAACTCGTTGGGGGTCAGGGGATGCCATATAATGAAGGAGCCGAATTTCCTCAAAGCTCTGCTCTCGCGGATAGCCCCCAAACAGTTGTGCTGAAGATTTCCTCGCAGGACCATATGCGCTCAGGATCCATTGCGGTTTTTCCACAGTGAGATCAGCGATTATAGTTTCCTTGTCGAAGATGATAGCAGCTTGGTTTTTCGAGCCTGTAGAAATAAAACTAGCGTTAGTCGAAATCTTCCTTATCAAGGAGTAAAATAAATCCTGACCTGGACCTCCTCCATCTTGTGAACTCTTGTCGAGCGAATGTTGGAGTGCAGCAAATCGATTCTCATTTGACATTGTTAAGTTACTTCTGGAGTGATCGAACCGGCACGAGTCTGTGGGACATTAGCTTGATCATGGCTTTTATTTTATTCCATGTCACCTCCATATTTACAGTACCCCTGCAGCCAGTACCTACATACTGTTTGGGGCATCATCCAAGGCGTGCAGATTTCTTCAATACTTTTTCTAAATTTTCATTGCGGAAATGTCTGGCCTTAGCAATACAATGTTTATTGGCTTGATAACGACTGGGAAAATTTTGTACTGTGCAGGCAGGAATGAAGCCGACGCCCTTTTGAGTTGCAAGACAAAGGCGTTATGAATATTTTATATAATTCGCGTATTGGTTAAATCATTTGACTCAATGGTCACCTGCTATCTTACAAGCATAATTTATATTCCACTAGTAGAATATTCGATATCAGTATGCTGGAGTATATCCCTCGAATAAGCATTCCAACTACACACTGCCTAGTACTTCTACTCCGTTTTCCCGTATTTACAATAGTTTTGATGTTTGATAAGAATCGTCTTCATGTTGCTGAAGATCAAATGATGCTTATTTGTTTGAAATCAGGCATGATGAAAAGGCCGCATTTTCATGGCATAGTGAAGATTTAACTCAATTAATACACCTCAATATCTGTATACAACAACCATCTGATGACAATAAAGCTGCTAACGCGGTTTCTCCATGATATTCCAGATCTAAAATTTAGCTTGAAAATTATATGCCTCACGAAAAAAATGTTGGACTAGCAACAAACAGTTATACTGACTATTTGGTTCCTGGCAATAATCACAGACAGGGATTTCACCGATCCCAACTTCACCCAATCATATTCCATGGTCCTTGGCGCATTCACTGTGGAATAAAGATTATGGTCCTTGAGATGTCATCGACCGCCCAAAATACTTCACTCTAGAATCGTTAGTTTAATTGAGATAATTGATTATAAAAGTAAAGGGCGATTTCATTTAGTCCGTTCAGGTACCCTATAGGCCTATGTAGGTATATCTAGCTACAATATTTACAAAGGAGGAAACCAACTCGGAAAAGACCCCCCAAAACTATCTGTCTTATGTCTATAAGTTTTCTTGGGGTTTCCTGAGGTAATTTCATTTACACTGTTCATCCATTGTGAATTCCGTCCTATCCTTGTCCGTATAGTTTTATCTTTTCGTCCATTGCTGTCGTTACTTCTCCTGCTTGCCGGCATTGTTCAAACTAGCCTTCAGCCAGGATCCAATTTGTAATTCTATCCATATCATCTGAGCTGTACAACATTACTGCAAATGACCTATCTTTTGCCTGTCAAAGTGCCTCTCCCCTTACCCTTCCCCACTGAAGACACGCCATGACCATGTTTGACATTTAGTCACAGATATCCACACTAGGATTTTGGATTAACCACTCCGGGAACTATCTTTCGATATAGATAAGAATTGAAACCGATATTCTCGCTTCTCATCTGGACTAGAATACTGCTCTGGGCCCTGCTAAGGTTCCTGTAGTTATTTCATGGTGTGTGTCCCAACCATTAACACCATGGTAATTTGTTGGGAATTAGTTATAGGCATGTGATTGTAATGGGGTGTATGATATGATAATTGTAAACTAGGCAAGAGCGAGTAAGGGTTTGTGGAGGCCCGTGCACACTCAAAATATTTCTAATACCTGCCACACAGAAAACTTCGGATAGAAAAAGACAATACAATACATTCTACTGATTACCTTTCCCTTCGGATTCGAATCCAAGAACCTGGTAGTTTTACCAACAGTGTGTTGATTTTGGTAATACTTTTTCTGCCTATTGTCTTGTCTATGACAATGTGTCCGGCTTTTTAATCGTCAGGATCTGCCAAAGCTCGATGATCAGATCATTTCTTCTTCTTTAGACGTGTCCATAAGTTTTCTCACTCTAGAAATGCTGCCACCTAACCAGCATCTTTTTGTCTACATTTTGCATTCTCCGTGTCACAAATTTTTGCCCATTCTACAATGCCTAGCTTTCGATTCTTGGCGTGCCTATTCTCGGTTCCCCTTTTAGTCTGCTTTACTTTGTTGGAAATGGAGACACGGAGTGTTGTGGACGTATGGGCCCTCCATTTCGTCTAGGTTCCCGACACGATCTCATGTGTATATAAGAGGTTGGAATAGGTAATATGGTAATATAGTAGCGCTTCAGGCTACCTATTGGATACATGAGCGGCTGTATGGCGTGGGCGCAAGGAGGTTATTGGGGGCTTTCTATGCCTAGATGGCGCCGCACTCGTTTATGCTGTGGCTTAGGCTCTGTGTCGCTTACACTTGTACTTTTTTTTTGCATCAGATTTTAATTGCGTATGCAGCTATCTAGCTATGACACAATATCAAAGAAAAGTACAGAATAGATGATTCATCGTTAAGGAAGAGCACTCATGCCTCAGATTTCATTTGCAAGTACCACTGCAAAGTTATGGCGGCTCTTTCTTCACCCCAAGTCAACCCTCATCCGTGAATACCCACCCAGGGGAACGTCTCAAAAACCCTGAGTTATCCAGACATGCCTCCATCATCTTTCAACTTTTCTCCGCGCGAAATATGATCTGAGATATCTCCTTCCCGAGTGGAGTAGGTGCCCAGGCTACTCAAACTATACCGGAGAACACCACCAGGAGGCGGGCCACAACACCTTCCATCGTTTGCTTGTTTTTATAGTGTCAACTGCACTCTCGCAAGCGAAGTCTTGGCGCGCACAAAGCCCAATTCGAAAAACTCCTTGCCAAAATTCGGAATCTCATGCCCTTCGAGGTTATATCCGTCCTTCGCATCATCTTGTCAACTTGTCCAGATCCCTCTCACATCCATCCCAAAGAACTGTCTCCCAGATTTGTGCGCCACGCCTTGCATCCTCCGGCGGGTATAAATATCGGCGTGGGCGTGTATTTGGTGACCAGCTGAGGCCAGAGAAGGTCGAAGAGTGGTGTGGTCATTGGAATGAGTATGTACTTGGTCGTACTTGTAGACTCGATGAGACGAAGATAGGGGTCAAACTCGTTGGGAGCGAAATAACGAAGTGGATGAGTAATTTGGATTTTTGCCTCGTGGGCCAACTTCTTTGATATTGCGAAATTTGACTGAACTTGGCTCTGGGAGAATATTTCACTCCCAGGTTCGTAGAGGACACCGCGTACAGGTGTTCAGTCTTGCCCTCCTACACTTGTACTTGTAGCGCACATTTCCCACACTTTTAGCTTTATTCCGAACATGACACTCTTTTAGTCAACTTCTACTATTGTTCCATGAATATTGCGCCCATTACATTGCGCGATATTTCCAACATACTTTACTTCATGTGGATAGTCTCGTTCTCTTGACAGGTATTCCTCCTGATAATCCGGCGTGTTGAACCCTCCTTTGTTTCTGGTAGATATCTATATGAAGAACCGAAGATTTATGTTCTAGTACCCTGCTGTTGTTAGAATTATATGCACCTGTTGCTAGCTTCAGGTATCTTTTATGGATATTTCGAAGTGATTTTACTACCTTTTCTGGTATTTGACCCGCTGTTCCAGCCGTAGCCCATGTCGGAGACTCACAAGTTAGGGCTGGTCTTACTATCATTCTTAACAAAAGCTTCGATGTCTTGAGTATGACAACCCATGATTATTGTGTCAGTCTGCTGATAGACTGTATTTGGCTGTGTGACTTTTGATGTATAAAATTTATATGAGAGCCCCACCAGAGCTTTGGGTTGAAGTGAATCCCGAGGACTCGAAGAGAAGAATGCGGAGAAGTTAGATGTCCTTATATATTGACCATCACTCCTATATTGCGTCATTTCCTTGCTTCTATGAAGTATATGGGCTGGTACTTCTCTGGTGTAATATCCACGCCGTTCTTTTCCATCAATGACTCGCAGATATCGTGTTGTTCCTCTAATCTCTTCAAGTTTTCTTCGGTTGTACTTAAACATGTTAGTATCTCCAATTAATTCAACTTCCAAAGTAGAAGAAGTTTGTAGTATTGGCAGGAGAGTGCTGAAAAAGAAGAGGAATAGAATCGGTAATGGAGATGAGCCATGGGGTATTCCTGTAACGATAGGGATTTTTTTCTTATTTACGTCCCGATATTTACCTAGGTAGTTCTTTTTACCAGGAATGATTCTAAAATTCGGCTGATGCACCTTGGAATATCATTTTCTCATAGGTTGTGGATTAGCCTTTCGTAAGAGACATGGTTAAAGGCTCCTGATATGTCTAGACAGAGAATTGAAGTGACCTGGTTTTTATCTCTATTCTAGATGTTCTGAATCTGTTAAGAGAGAATCTCTATTGATTTAATAGTGAATCTACGGCAGTAGCTTGGGGGACTATTCTCAACACCTGTCAGTAGTGTCCCCTACGAACCTCCAGCTCTCACTATACAGTCTGCAGAGCCGAGATTGAGTAACAAAGTCCTCACTTCGACGAGGATTCCCAATCGCTTTCGCTTTCGCGGTCTGTATCGTCTTCATCTCTCAACACGTTCCCTTATCACCATTATCATGAACCTAACCACGATCAGATCAGATGGTAGGGTCGGGGCCCTACTCATCACCAACCCTTGATCATGGAGGAGAAGCTATCCAATGAGTTTCCGGAGCGTACCCAGCACCCGATACGGAGATAGTGGATCTACTGTTACAAAGAAGGGAAATGTGGATGAATGTGCGCAGCTCATGTGGTCCGGATATCCAGGCCTCGTCTGGCTGGGGCTGCAGGTTTTTTTGAGACTTTTTCCCGCGCATACAATTTAAATTTGAATTTGAAATCTTTTACGTGACGGGAAGAACCTAACATCTATTTAGACGTGACACGGGTAGATGGGCACTGAAAGCTCATTGCTACCTACATGACCGGCAGTGGAGCCAGAAGCGACAAAAGAAAAGAGGGAAAAAAAAAATGAACAGTATGTGTCTGAGTTACGGTGCCCTGCGCCGCATCCCTATCTTCCACACCCATCTCCTCTCGGGTCAGAAACAATCTCAGCGTGGTCACCTCCCACCCTGTTCATTCTTCGGCAGACTGTAACATTGGCTTGTAGTTAAGAATTGAATGAACTTCTGCCATCCCTTCTCCCCTATCATTTCCCTGGCCCCAGGTGGGGCCATTTCCTCACAGATTCTCCGAC